AAAATTTTAACTGTCAGTTCGAAGTACTAACACCTGAACGTAGACTTGAAATGAATGGGTTTGATAAATCGCAGGATTCGCAGGGCTGCAAACCATAAGATCTGTTTAATTTAATAAAATTATGGATTCTTTCGGATTATCGTTTTTTTTACTTTGACTTGACTTAGCTGGGGGGTCCTTGAATCCACGGGGCCCTGGGCTGAAGCCCAATAAGCCATATGGTAGATCCGGCCTTGTCGTGGAGGTTATGCAACTTTGGCAATGGTCGGTAATTTGATGGGTGTCAAAAAAACTTATTATCTCGAGCTCCTGCCGAAGCTTGTACTTTGCGCCTTCAGTGAGGATATTAATAGGCTAATGCTGATAATGTATTGAGTATATTATTTGGAAAAAAAATCAAGAATGATCCCCTCTACCCCACACTATAGGTTAAATATAGTGTGATTTATAAGTTAAATATAGTGAAACATTTCAGACCATTTGAAGAAATTTAACGCTATGTGTTTGTTCCAAATCTTGACAAATTTTTCTTTTTTTTTAAATATGAAGAAATTATTTTATCCAAAACCGTTACTATCACAAAAAAAATCTTAAAGTACCTTTGTTTCTTAATTATGTTTTTATTTAAATGAACTTTTTGATCAGACGGAGTTTTTTTTTCAAATAAGTTTAATATGAGTATTTATCGAATTCATAGTTTTAAATGGAGCTGATTACGAATACAACATTTTTCTCGAGATCTAAGAATATTATTAAAGTTTCAGATTTTGGGACTAAGCAGTCCTAATGGAAACTTAAAAGATCGATTTTGTGACTCGCCGACACCTTAAAGAACTTATCTGTATTAACCAGACAGCTTCCATAGAACTCCAAGTTTCTGGAAATTGAGTGTCCTGAAGTTGTATTATATGTCGGCCCAGATGAATAGTAATCAGGTACCACTTTTGTGGATTACAATAAAATACGCTACTACATATAAAAGAAACTGTGTTTTAAAAACTCTAGTAAAAAAAATATAAGTTATGGCGAAAACAATTATTCGATTTGCCTAAAAAGCCTAAAATTCTCTTTAATACAGAACCTTAACAATATAAATTTTAATTTCCTGGACTATAGAGAAATATGAATCGCAAAATCCATGAACAAATGTTCGTGAGTATATCGTAAACGTTATTTTTTTTTCACGACACGATAATAATCACGGTGCAACTAAATAAAATGTAGGGCCTCGTGTAATGGCATTTTCCTCTTAATTTGACATTTGAAAGCTATTAAAAAGTTTGTTAATTAAAAGTAATAAAAGTCGCTGGATGTGGGCAGCTGACCTGATAACTAATTACTTAATTTGATTCACTTTCTTCTACCTATACGCTATTTACATCAATGCTGTCTATTCTGGCATGATTCTCTAAACCTAAACTTAAATTTGACAACAATGTATCCTTGTCATTTTCTATACAGATTGAAAAGGAGAGATTGATGTTATATTTAGTTTAGTTTAGAAAATCATGTCAGAATCGACACCATTGTATCGCCAATAAACAAACACAAAAAAAATAGTAAGTTAATTATGGTATCGATTCCGGCATAATTCTCTAAAGCTTAAATTTTTGACAACAATGTATACTCGTCTTTCTCTATACAGAATGAAAAGGAGTGACTAATGTTAAAATTAGTTATAGAATTATGCATGCCAGAATCGACACTTAATTATTGTTGAAGTGAAACTTCTTTATCGGCGTTGGAAAAAAATTTACCGTCACATTTTTCGGTTACGCGTCACATTTTTCCGTTACGCGCCATCTTTTTTTATATTAATAGTTGTGGCTGAATGAGCACACTGTCGCCGGCGAGAACTCTCTCTACTCGTTTGTAGCTGAGTGACAATAGTTATTAAAGATAAGACTCGCTCAGCCAACCTCGCATAGCGATACTCGCTCAGCGGTACGACGGTTTCGACGTTCAAATACGATAATATGTTTTAAAAGTACTTTATATCGATGCCGGTAATAGCCATATAATAATTATAAAAAAAATGTGTGCGTGTACTAGTGTACACACGTAAGAAGTGAAACTTCTTTATGGCCTTATTTTTCGAAAAATGATCTACATGCAACTTTCCAGAAATTGGTTAAATAAAGTTAAATTAGATAAAGTTTAAACAAAAGGATTTTATTATCATAGACATGAATACAAATTACTGCCTATGAAACTGTTATGATTACACGGCTCAGTAATCTAAGGCACATGTTCCACCTCCGACGATGAACGATAAGCGAGTAGAAACTAGAAACGAATTGGCAGTCCTGAGTTAAAATGCTCTCGCACGGCTTTTGACAGCCAAGCCAGCTTAACCGAGCTCAGCGATACTCGCGCTGAGCTAGTATCGCTGAGCGAGTATCGCTGAGCGAGTATCGCTGGGCAAGTATCGCTGAGCGAGTATCGCTGAGCGAGTATCGCTGAGCGAGTACCGCTGAGCGAGTATCGCTATCTATGATAATATCTATGATAATAAAATCCTTTTGTTTAAACTTTATCTAATTTAACTTTATTTAACCAATTTCTGGAAAGTTGCATGTAGATCATTTTTCGAAAAATAAGGCCATAAAGAAGTTTCACTTCTTACGTGTGTACACTAGTACACGCACACATTTTTTTTATAATTATTATATGGCTATTACCGGCATCGATATAAAGTACTTTTAAAACATATTATCGTATTTGAACGTCGAAAGAAAGATTTTGGTGTCGAATGTGGAAGCGTTCTCTAAACTTAAATTTGACAAATGTATCCTTGTCATCCTCTATACAGAATGAAAAGGAGATACTAATATTAAATTTAGTTTTAAGCTTAGAGAAAGAATTTTAAGAATCGACACCTTTGTTTGATTAAGTTATAGATCGTGAATGATTGAATATTTGTTTTTTATATAAGATCTGTCGATGTATATTTGTTTTATCAACATGCTATTTGTATCGACAGATACACTTAATTAAATCTGGTTGAATATTTTCCTGTATAAAAAATACCATTCATTCATTTCATTCATTTTTCGTCACATCACTATGAATTTCTACCTATTATTTTTGTCATTCATTCGTGATTTCGCGCCTTTTCTTTTAATTTAATTTTATACCAGAATACTAACTTTTTGGAACTTAAAAATACTTTCATATGATAGGAAACACCATGTTTCAGCAATATTGAAGTGGCAGATTGCTGCGGAACGATCCAAAGTGGTAGCGTTATATAAAACTAGTTCACGCGCGACCGCTACGGTAGCAGTAGTCGCGACGGCAACACCAGTCGCGATGTTTGAGGTGGCAACACATATCAATTGCCGCTATTATTCTAATGTTAATGTCAAGTAAGCTGCTTTTTTCTCTTCTTCTTGTTTGTTGTGCTAGTTTAACTAACATACTGTGATTACCTTATACCTATATTTAATAACTGTTATGTGCCATAAAAATGTGCCTACCTGATGCGTGCCTGTCTACGAGCTCGAGAACCAACGGAATATAACGAAAGCTAAGTAGTAGAATAGTTCACATAAATCATAGCCGGTTTGCATCTCATGAAAAGTTTGTATGTGTGAAAATAAGCGCTTACCTGCGCACTTGATATTAACCTATGTACCTGTGGGTACCGGCACGGTAAAGAGATATTCTCTCACACGGCGAAAGCGCCGGAGAGTATGGGCGTGAAACGCCTGTGGCATTGACATAATTGTAACAATATAAAAAGAGGAGGGCTTGTGCTTCTGCAGGAGGCAAGTCCTAGGGTACCCTACCGAGGGGCACAAGAGAGAGTTATGGCATGCGCAGCGCTATGTCTGGACGGAGCTGGAATAGTGGCTGAGCCAGATTAAAGACGTTCCATAGTAGTGCCATATAAGTGGGCGACGCGGCATGTGCATGTGGGCGCACACATGCACGGGTTGCGTGGGGAGCAGGCGACGGCCTTGGCTCTCATGCTCACACCGCTCTGCAGGAGCGTAGGACATACATAGCAAAGAGTCATGTTAGGAAATTTCCGCATCGTTTAGACAGCTAACGTAGATAGTTGAGTTAACATGGGTAATTGACCTACAGATAATCTCGATACTCATTTATGACAATATTTATGTGTTCTATGAATCCTGGAATCATACCGTTGTAATGGTGTGACTCCGGGACTTAGTGGCACCACGCAGTGGTGTCATAATTTTATTTATACTTACAGATGGATTAAGAAAGTGATGAGAGGAATGGACGGACATTCGCTGGTGCTTGAAGGTACATACAATATAATCTGTGGTAAGTAATCACCCTTCGTCACTCGATTCTCCCTTTGTCACGTGTCTATCGTCTAAAATCTCGCGACCCACGGTGGATACGTTTGTATCACGGATATGGGCTGCATGTGGCAGCCCCGCCCCCAAGAGGGTCGCGACAGCGGTCGCGCGTAAACTAGTTTTATATAACGTTTTGGCGTAGGGGTACGCCCGTCCATGCTCTCTCCAGCTATAAATGCTCTAAGGGTGTATCACCGTCGACTAATATTTGGACATGGCAACACTGATCCATGGTCATTAATAAATTTAAAAAAACCTACATTAAATAAAACAAAAAAAAACGAGTTTTTGGCGGGATTTCATCGAGTGTGGTTGGCGTCTTATTTTAATTATTCTTAAATTCGTTCATAGTGGATATTGTGAAATAAAATTGGTGTGATTTTGTGTTACAACTGTCTGCGTAACTGAAGAATTAGTAAAATCGTCAAAATATACGCTATTCAAGTGGACGTGAGAATTTTATTGTCTACAGACTACCTCACAGAAGCTTATCGAAAAAGCCAGCTCGATACATTTCGTGCCAAACACTTCAAGAAACATTAGAATGCGTCACACCGACATTCTAATGTAAAAAGAAAAACAGAATAATTTAACTTAAGACTAGTCTGTATGGGCATTGTTCCCCTTGCCTTCCCTGAAGAGGGAGAACGTAACCAAAAAAAAAACCTACATTCTGTTTTCTGTCAATGATTATTTTAAAACTTCTCAATAGAGAAGAATAAAACTAGAAAAAAAAAAAAAAAAAAAAAAAACAACTTGAAAAATGAATATTCCATGTAATAATAATTGTGTTGTAAGTTGCCCGGAAATTATCGGTTATATGAGTGTCGATGTGTCTCGAGAATACCTGCCCGATTTATCACAACTGAAGTTTCTTAACTTTATTCCTCCAAATCAAACAATAAACTTGAACCTTAACCATGGAATAAAAACAGCCATCAAAAGAACTACCGATGACAACGATGAAAATATAACTCTATTACTCAAGTTCATTATGAATAATAAAGAACAAAATATAAATTTCATTGATAATATAGAGCAGAATTTCATTACTTACAGAAGAACTTTAATTAGCGTAATGTGTAATGCATTCAACAGTGAACATATTAGAATTATGGCTTGTTTATTTAATAAATCTATTTACTTGTGCTCCCTTGAAACTCCTCTTGAAAAGAAAAAAAGGTTGTCTCGCAACCAACAAGATGGCCGTTTCTGTGCATGGGGTTATAAATTCGAACAATATATGCTGGCAGGTTAGGTTTGCAACTCTGGATTGGTGTTTAAATTTAACTAAATCACCTTTTCTCAAACTATACACAGGAATTATATTTTATTTAATGAAACATATTATTTTAGATGTTCCTGGTGTTAATCCCATTATAGAAAGGCCAGTTGTAGAAAACGAGGAGTTTACATTATACTATAAAACTAATTTAGGAGACCATACACTTTTGTATGGTGCACAGATAGACGGCTTGATCGCTACTGATGGCACAGTTTTACCTCCACCAAATACAACAGACTTTCAAACCAACTTAAATTATCTTAAACAGCATACATATGTTGAATTAAAAACAAATAGAATAATACAAAGCAAGAGGCAAGAGCAAACCTTTAAGTAAGTTTAGTTATTAGTATTCATTACCTACATACACTAGAAATTGCTTAGCCTGTCTCGAGATCGGGTTGTCTGCATCTCTGCTGAATCTCTAACTTTTATCTGTTTTTCTTTATTAATGACTAATAAAACAAAGTTTTTCAGAAAATATAAATTATTAAGATGTTGGTGCCAGTGCTATTTAGCAAACTTACGTGGTTTACTTGTGGGCTATCGAGATGATCATGGGATTGTTACGTCACTAAATTATTATAACACTGAGGATATTCCAAAGTATTGCAAAGTAAGTAAGAAATTAAGTCATAGTAAATAATATTGATACAATAAAAAATAAAACTATTTCAAAAAGATAATTATAGCACTTTAATTTTATTGTTTCAGCATGAGCGGCAGCCAGAAAGATGTTAAAAGTTTTTACAACACTTTTTATCATTTGTGAGGTTTACTTTTAACAGAATTCATTTGGATCCCAATGAAACAATGTCATTAATATTTGATTTACATGGGTGTGATCCTATAACTGTTTCAGAATGTAACAATGAATATAGCTCTATTTTACCTGAATGGTATATTCAAGCAATGAATAATAAAAGTAAATACAAATAGTACTTGATTAGTATTTTACAAATAAAGTTCTCTACCAATCGGGAAACCAATACGTATCAATCTTGCTTGAGCCAACTACTGAGCAAGTTATCTGATCCAACGTGCAAGACATCACTATACACGTAAAAGAGATCCAAGATCTCTTTTACGTGTGTAACGATTTAAAAACATGCTGGTTCCAGCAAGATGGATATTACATAAACTCTATACTATAGAGGACCTAACATTCCTTACCAAACTTTCCAAGCTCCCATCCATCCAGGGTTGCCATTTTACAAAACTAAAAACTAGTCTGGCTATCTTAATAATGCCACTAGTGGGACTATTCGCTAACTGTTTTCGACAGATGAAAGTGATAGTCACCTAGCCATTTACTGCTTTATTATCAGTGGCGGCGTTAGAGGCTCCCCCCCCCCCCCTCCCTCAAACGCCGCATATAGCCGATTCACATAAGTTGCGCGAGTTCAAAAAGATAACATCTATAAATCGCGATAACAGAAAAGAATAAATACAAATGTTCAGACACGCTGGCCCCTTCCCATCTACATGAAACCAACAACAGAGCTGGTGCGGCTTGTGAAGCGGCTGAAAAAGCTAAGGCAGGCAAATACAGGGGTCTAGGCTCCGAATATGATTTTGTACCATTCGGTGTCGAGACCCTTGGTCCGGGGGGTCCTAGCGCTATAAGGCTTTTTAAAGAAATAGCAAAAACATTAGTCGACATCACCGGAGACCGAAGAGCTGGCAGATACCTCGGACAAAGAATTAGTCTAGCTATCCAAAGGGAGAACGCTGCCAGTATCTTCGGAACCTTGCCTAAAGGGACTCCTTTTAATAATGTATTTTAGTTATTATATTTTATTTTTTTAAGGTTTTTAGTTTTAGGTTCATTGTTATAGTCATAGATGAATGATTGGTCTCGCTTCACTCCACTAGATACCGCGCTATCAAAAAACAACAGCTCCGGTTAAGCGGCAACTCATTATTGTAGTGTGTGTTTAATGCGATTCAAATAAGAATAGGAAAGCCAATGACCTCCATCTGTCAAATGTCGCCTGAAAAGTACGGTTTGCAAAAAAATCTCGGAACACTTTTTTAGCACTCTGCTGATTCTAGAATAAAAACCAAACATATTTAAACAAACAATAACAAATGTTGATAATTAATATTAGTTGCTTTTTTTTCATTTATTTAGCTTTGGCTATGAATGGTTGATAACCTAAATCGTCAACCAAATGTCACTTTATGTTGCGTTCAAAAACTCGATTTAAAACTTTCGTTTACATATAGGATGCATGTTCGTATGTGACTTGCATGATTATTCATAACTTCTCCGGCGGTAATGCAGAGTTGATCGAAATTGAAGAGCTAGATTCTTATTAATGTTTTATATCACACAGTCTTAATAAGGACATACTATTCAAAATCGATTTTGTTCTTTCTCAACCTTAGTAAATTAATTTTGTTAAAAAATCTGATGTTTTGTCTCACTTAATCTTAGTAAATAAGTTTCATTAAATAGCAACATTTTTTCGCTCACTCTACCTATTTGGTTTGAATTGACAGCTATGACGTCAAAATATGGCGCCCAGGATCGACTGGGGTGGGTTCTTAGTTGAATCGCATTTTATGTCACTTTGCAAGGACGGTGTCGTATGTCAAAAAAAGTGTAGCCAGCTGCTCAACTGCTACCCTAGTAATAGGGAAAATATTTTATGCTGTTGTCGATCCACAGCACAATACTAATTACAAAATCCGTACATGGTACACATCCGTAAAGGTATGTTTTCACTAATTTTCGTGAAAAACTTTTTTCTGCAAAAAATAAAAAACCAAAAACTCGGTTATGTGAAAAATAGAGTCTGACAAATGAGTCGTGGCACAAGAATTATTACGAATGGCAATACTGTTAACTGTCATAGGTAGAAAAAATATATGTCATTTTAAATTATCATAACCTCTACGTCTTGCTGTGGTGTGATATTTATACGTTTTTTGGTTTGAAAAATGTCGAAACCTATTAAAAGCAGTGTTCGGAGTTTGTTATATAGTATGATAAACAAGTATGAACAAAGAAAAACTGAAACAAGCCGACGTGTGGAGGAAAAAATACGTCTTTTGGACAAAATTGTTTCGTCTGCAAATAAGTATAGCCATCACATTTTGTAACTTATATGTACATTCAAATAAGGAGAGGTGCTTTTCTTTTAAATTACTTTATAACTTTCGGGGCAGTAGGTATATTATTGCATTAAAGGTAAGAAGGTACTAAATATTTTTTTCCTGATTTGAAGGTATGTCGGATGACGAAGACATTAAACGCAAAATCAAAGATTTAGTCAAGGAGCTCAAAGATATTGAGAATAAAGATCTTATTACCTCTGAATCAAGTTATTTAACGCATTTGTCTACTCTAACAGGTAATTTTCAATATACTTATTTGCGCCATATTTTATACTTGTACATAGACTTGGCTAGCTAACCTAATTATACTTTTATAATTGCAGATGTTAGTGTAAATACAATGAGAAGAATAAAAAAGGAAGGTTCTTTAAACCAGGGAAAATGGAACACGAGGAAAAAACGCCCTCGTCAACCCCGTGTTTCAAACTTAGATGATTTTGACATATGCGCAATCCGGAGTAAAATAAATGAATTTTATTGTGTTAAAAAGCAAGTTCCAACAATAAACTTTTTTTTATTGGCTTAAACAATTTTGATAATGTGATCTTAAACTAATGACCTGCATCTCCTTTTAAGCTTAAATAGCCTGTGTCAGGAGATACAGCTCTTCCCTAAAATAGATAATTATAACAATCCAATAAAATCTAAACAAACCATGACCAAGATCTAATTAGTTTAGACGTTTGGTGTTAATGCCTACATAACTGTAAATGTGGGAGTGAGTGTTTGTATTTTGTATGCATGTGTGTGTGTGTGTATGTTGGTGTAGTGTGTGTGTGAGTGTATTGTAGCAATATAATTTTATAATATTAAGTTGTAGAAATATTATTAATCAAAGCGCCTTCTATCACCATACGTATTCATCATCGAATAATGTAATTGGTTTTAAAGAAGCACGGAATATATTCTGAATAAAAAAAAAATGATAGTTGCATTTGAAAGATGAGATAGATGGAGTTGTATGTAATAGTGTTAAATAAAATTACACGCATTGATTGCGTGATTAGCTATTGTTCTGGAAGCAGTTCCTTGGTGGGAGATGGGCGGAGCCGTCCTAACCGGTCCTGTCGTTTCCTCGCACCAAATATGGTGATTTGAGAGAAATTTGCTAGGACGCCGTTCACGTGATCCTATGCCACTATAAATAGCTTTGCGCAGACGGTTTCATTCTCTTTTGTCTGCTAACCGAACACTGGAACATCTAGTAAATTGCACAGTGACTGGCAATTATAGTCAGTGCATAATTAATTAATATATTTTCCCCGGATTAACGGGTAAGTCCAATATATCTAACTGGTTAGGCTGTAGGTCAATTTAGGTTTTTTTATTGAACTATAGGAAATATGTGTAATTGTTTCTAGGTCCTTTAAGGTGGCTAATTAAAAAAACAGTATACGATAATTACAATTAATTAATCCTGCTTGGAATTTCCTTGGATATACATATATAAAGAAGTACGCTATGTATATATAAATGAGCCTGTGAATGCAATCTTGATCGAAAAAGAGCACATGTGATGACAGCAGATTCTGTTACAACCCACGTGGATACCTGAATCGCTTGATGGTACCAAGATCTTGAAAGCTAAGTAAACTCTCAACCTATTTAATCTTTAACCAGTGCATTCTCCGAAGTACAAAGTTTCAGATTGTTAGAACATAATAAAAGATTTATTGTTGTAAACTGTAGATTCATTAACGAAAGTAGCTTCATATTTGCCAAACGAATTGTTTCTTTAGAATCTTAATATAAATATATTTGTATGTACGATACTTGCTAAAACAAAATGTTTCCTTAGAATATTAACATTAATATAACTGTACACCTGTTTTGACTGTATGTTCGTCACTGATTCTCAATACTTAAATTTATAAAAGCCATCTTCAAAGATATTAATTTATAATGTTAAGTGTGTTAATATATGTTGAAAATTGAACTGAATATTAACAATATACATATCTTGTTCACTGCGGTTATTGATTTTTTATTTTATCTCCCTCAAATAACAGTAAGACGGCGCCCTGATTATAAATTAATTAATTTCGAGTCTCATAGAAAGCCCTGATTTAGCTGGTGATAACAAAAATTGTTACAGTATATGTGTCTTAGTGTGTGCAAGAATACTAGGTTCTGCTTAATAGTAGGTATCTCGATTTCATCATGTGTTTTAGCTGTTAACCATTTTATCAGTAGCTCTTTGCATTGATAATAAATTTTATCATATACATAAATATATTTATTAATGGTGTTGTATATGTGTATAGATCGACTATTGAACTGACTGCTAGCAAATAAAGTGTTGGTTCTAGGAGCACGTATAATAATGTCTTTCCTTCTTCTTTTTGAAATCTTAGGGTCATACGTTAGAGACTTATGATTTTTTAGAATAACATGAACTATGTACAGCTTCCTTACAGATAATAAAATACTAATTTTGTAGAGGCACTCAGTAGAAAATCGCCTTTTTTTAAAATACATGACCTTAATGAGACTTCGCTGAGCGCGCTCAACATCAATAAAACGCGTTTTGGCTGCGCCACCCCATACAGGTATGCAATATGTCAATATAGATTGGGCCAACGAAACATAAATTTCTTTAAGGAGATCTCTTACCGAACCACAATTACCCTTATCCTTTTTTGGGACTGGTACTATATACCTGAGTGTCTTGAAAATCCAAGTAAGCTTTCTGAGTCTTAAAGTTACATGTTCTAAATGCTGATACCAAGATAATCTCTGATCCACATAGACACCCAAATATTTAACATTCTCAACCTTTTGAAGAACCGGACAGTTACAATTAACTCCACCTATTCTAAAATTACAGTCATGTATCTTTAAACAAAAATCATTGTTTGGTTGTCCGTCATTATATAGACTGAAACAGATATAATTTGTTTTAGCAGTGTTGAGTGTAAGAAAATTATTACGTAACCACTTGCTTATCTGTTTCAAGCCGCTCTCGGTTATTTCCCTTACAGCATCCCAAGAGTCTGCACTAAAAACAATTGCAGTGTCATCAGCGTACGACAAAATTTTTGCATCCTTAATGTTCATGGCACAAAGATCATTGATATAAATAAGGAATAATGTAGGTCCAAGGACACTTCCCTGAGGCACTCCATATGTCACTGCTGCATCATCACTAGTGAAGGAATCTAACTTTGTCTTTTGCCGCCTATCCGACAAGTAATCTTTGAACAATTCAAGTGAAACTCCCTTCAGTCCGATCGATTCCAGTTTTC